ATTTTCACATCAAATGATTCACGCGATTCGCGTTGGTCTATTGTTTGAAAGTTTCTGAATTTTCCTGTCGTACCGTCTTTTAAACTCTATAAGTTTCCTCTTACTTTTAATGGCGAATTTGAATCTTTTCTTCCCATTCTTCCGCTCTTTCGTTCCGCTTCTTCCCCTCAATGGTGTTATTCAGTGGGCTTTATAATACTCTACCTTTCCGTCTTTCTTTTTAATGAGGAGTCAGTTCGTTTTTTTACCCCCAAACTGCCCTAGGCAGTCTCTCCCCTGTTTTCCGTCCTCCCCTTTACTTAAGCTTGTTTTATATAGCTTTTTCTTCTTCCCGTCCGAGCTCTTTTTCTCTTTTCCCTTTCCCCTACTTTCTTCTTTCCTTGTTCCAACCTACATTTTCCATTAACCCTTCATTTTCGGCCCCCTGCTTTCCTGTCCTTTGCCTTCTTTTTCGTTTTCCATTCTACTCGCGTTCCTGTATTTTTCTCCAGTAATTGTTTTCTACCTCATCTATCCCTTATTTCGTTTTTTTACTATCTTTTCTTAAGTTCTTTTCTTTTTTTGGTTTCTTTTTTTCATAAAGATAACAAGTTTGGGTTCTTTAATTTTTACTTAAAGGTTTAATTTATTGCGTCTCGTTTTTTTGCCAAAAATTACAAAAAGCTGCCTATGCAGTGGTCGTTTCTCATTCCATGGTCGCGAATCAGAAAGCTTCCAAAACAAAGAAAGGTTCACATTCCATCAGAAAGTTCGCAGATCCCAAAATCACGTTCGGCTTCACCAACAATTTTGTGATATCTTCTTCTGAAGTGTTTGATTTTCACCAGAAGTACGTTGTCTTTTGATTTTTTTACTTCTACGTTCATCTTTTTTTTATTTTCTTGAAAACATAACAACATGATTGAAACAATAACAATATGAAATCTCAACGCGGCAACAGTGCCGGATTTTTCCTCTTTCACATCCTCGTTCCTCGGGTTTAACTGTATTTTCCCTCTCGCCGGGAGGTGGGGGCGAACATCAGTTTTTATCCTTAGGGAATTTTATTAGGAACAAGCATAGTCGAGAAAATGTGATCGTACTAACGGCGGTCGTATTTATTATAAGCCGAAAGTGGTTTAATCTGGGTAATATTGTCTCGTGCAGAGATGTGTAGGGAAAGAGCGCATACACGCTGCAAAGACACAAAGTATGCGCAAAGCGTGTTCCTTGAGCGGGATTTTTATTGAATTAATTATGATGAAAAAAACACCCTCCAGATTCGCTCTTTTTTGTTTTTACTATAAATGTTTGTAGTAAAACCGGGGACGACGCTTCGGCGCTCTCGGTTTGTTTAAGATTCCTTTTACTTCCTCCGAAGCAATGCAATGACTGTACCGCCGATAATTATTGCCGTTTCTTTACTATTTGATTCGCTGCATTATTTGCCGTTCAGCCTTATCGCATATTAAATAATTGTAAGGTTTTTACATAATTGCAGAGCTGGTCCTTTTTCCAGCAAAACTTGAGGTAGTCTACGTTTCAGACAAATAACATCGCCCTTGGGATTTTAAACGAATTTCTTTTTTTCTGTTAATGGTAAAGGACATTTATGTGTTTCTGGATTTATCCGAACAAAAACTACATATTTCATTCCTTACGGCTGTTAAAGCAGCCGCTGTTGGAATGCGCGCTTTTGAAATGTTTCGTTTTGAGTCTACATAATTTTTCTGATAATTTTGGCTTTCTCTATTACTAAAGGGAATTTCATTTCGCTTAAAGTTTTTTTAATCTCATAATAAAAAAGACGCTTCTCTTATTTCTACCTCTTTTCTCAAAAACTCAACTAAGTGATTCACTATCAAATGATTCACGCGATTCGCGTTGTCTATTGTAATGCAAACTCTTCTGGAATTTTCTGTAGTATTACCGGGCAAAGTAAACTACTATAATTCCTGCCAAACACCTAAGACTTAATGATCGAATTTGAACTCTTAATCGTATCATACATTCTTCGCAATGCTGGAACGTTCGCGCATGTCTTAACGGAATCAATCAGTAACAGTTTATTCATGTGCGAGCTTATAATCAAATCTAGCCTTCCGAATCTTTCTTTTAAAAACATAATTGAGGAATCATAATTTTCGTTTGTTAACGAAAATCCCCAAACTGCCGATAAGGCAGTATCTCCCAAAAATGTTTTCAGATACGAAAACTTCTCAACCTTACTTAAGGAATTGTTATTATGAATAGCTACTTCGTAGGAATTCCAGAAATCCAACCAAGAGCTACAATTACCATAAAACTTCTCAATACTTAATTTCGGAAGCTTAACCACACTACTTTCGTTTCTTACTACGCGTTGTTCCAACCTAACATTTTCATTAACCCGAATTTCATTTTGCGTGCCCCGTTAAAAGCATTTCCTATATGCCTATCTAGTTTCGTTTTCCATTGAATACCGCGTTCCTGATATTCTTCACTCTCAGTAATTTCGTTTTCTAACTCATCTATACCAATTATCGTTTCTATTTCACTATCTAAACCCTTAAGATTCTTTATCTTTTCAATCAACTGGTTTCTTTGTTCATAAAGATAATCAAGTTTTTGTTCTTTAATTTTTACTTAAAGGTTAATTTATTGCGTCTTCAGTTTTTGCCAAAAAATTACAAAAAAGCTGCCTAATGCAGTTTCGTTTCTCAATTCCATGGTCGCGAATCAGAAGCTTCCAAAACAAAGAAAGGTTCACATTCCATCAGAAAGTTCGCAGATCCAAAATCACGTTCGGCGTTCACCAACAATTTTTGTGATATCTTCGTTCTGAAGTGTTGAGTAATTCACAGAAGTAAGTTGTCTTTTGATTATTTATTGAAAACAATAAGTAAGTTATCTTTTGATTATTTATTGAAAACAATAACAACATGATTGAAACAAATAACAAATATGAAATATCATACGCGGCACAGTGCCGGATTTATACATCTTTAGCACATCCTCGTTCCTGCGGGTTCTAACTGTATTTTCCCCTCGCCACGGGAGAAGCGAACATCAGTTTATCCCTTTAGGGAATTTTAGTTGGAACAAGCAGTAGTCGAGAAAATGTGATGCGTACTAACTGCGGTCGTATTTATAAGCCGGAAAGTGTTTTAATCTTGGGTAAATATTTCTCAGTGCAGAGATAGTGTAGGGAAAGAGCGACATAACACGCTGCAGAAAGACACAAAATAGCGCAAAGCGTGTTCTTGAAGCGGGGATTTATTGAATTAAAATTTATGATTAATCAAAATTAATGAATTTAAAGATCTGTTGCCAATTGGCTCCAATTAAGTTTAATAATTTTGTTTCATATTTTATATTATACATATAAATATATACATGCACATACCAAACTTTGATCCAGGTATTATATATATACAGGATAATTCAAAAATATCCGTAAAAAATGTAGATGGGATAGAAACAAGAAGATTCTGTAGTGTAATGTGTTTGAGGCAATAGAGTTTTGAGATGGTAAAGGATTCTGTGAGCAGAACTGTGAGGGTTCTGTGAGTTCTGTGAGCGGTGGTACAGGGTTCTGTTTTTTGTTTTTTCTTAATTGACGGGGCTGCGGACAGAAGAAGCGCATTGGCTCAAATACACCCGGGATTCGTTCTATGTATTTCTTTTGAGTAGCTGCTTCTATTGCGCCTTAGCTCTCAAAAATTCATGTCAACAAGCTCTGATTTCGAGAGAAATGCATCGCTAAGCATTCGCTTAGGGATGCATTCTCTCGGATGCATCTCTCTCGAAACCAACACGAAGAATGACACGCTACGCTAGAAAACCGCTTTTACCTTTCCCTTATCAATGCCCTGTACCACCTCAACTCGCCATTTTCCTCGGCCCACATTTCGTTATAAAATCTGTTTATTTCTGTCCCTTTTACTTGAGTTTACATTTTTGACGGGTATTGTTTGAATCATCTTGTATACGGAAGTGCTTTCTCTGCCATTATTCTGTTTCATCTATACTTTGAAAGAATAAAAAATTTATCTTATTTTTGAAAATGTAGAATCCTTATGCAAAGACTCTTGGCAACTCTATGAGGTTATTTAAGCTATAGTTGTTGGTACCTGTCACAAACGGTCCGAAATAGGCGGTGCTTTGAATCAAGGTCACAGTGGATCCAGCCTCTTAGTTGCCAGAGATCTACCCCTACTTTCTGATATTAAGCAGAGAAGATACTATTTCTAAAAATATTCTTCATTTTAATTTTAAAGCTATGCCTAGTTTATCTGCACACGCATTTTATTATTATGTTGACAGCCGTTTGTAGAGTAAAGGTTTGAAGTGGATATGTATATGGTGATTTTTAGCCCATCAATGATTGAATTTTCTTGTACAGCTTGTACCCTAGCCATTCTTTCTCAGCTAAAAGCAACGTATGACTCAGCCAAGCGAGTGAAGTGAATCTGATCGTATGAAGAATATATTATAAACTAACACATGAATCCACTACCCCTATAAATGAAGTTCTGAACACAGTAGCTAACAAAATACACGCTTATGTGACAAATAATATGTTGACTGGCGGTGATGTCATCTATTAATCAAGTCACATCGTGCTTCGACGGTTGCAGAGCAGCTCCAAGAAAAATATGACAAAACATTGTCATTATAGCTATAGCTTCCAGATTTGTACCAGATAACACTTAGTCGAGAACTCTAGATGCTAAAGAACTCTACTTGCTATGACTCCCAGTGGAGAAAGTTTGATTAGCACTGGAGAAATAATTATAGCAACATCCTCTCAGCCATAAAACCTATAGGAAGTGAGGATCATTCTGGATACGCCATCGTCATCGAGAGATGAGTACCAACAAGTTTTGAATATATATTATAATTTTCAAATATATGCTTGTCACGTGAGATTTGTTTCGGCTACCAGAGAAGAATTTTCATCGCTTCCGGTGAGTGATTTATGCTAATTGGTCAGAGGGTTATCTGTAAAATTAATGTATAGACGTATAATGCTTACATACCTATCATAGGGACAGCAATTCACAGATAAAGTTGTGTCAAAGTCGTGACTAATTAACCAAGTAAATTCTTTCCTTCTCCACAAGTCAATAATGTTCCAGTCTGAAATTCGCACATTTTGGCATCCAGCGTTCATGTCACCCATTATGATAGCATCCTGAAATGCAAAAGGAGTATAACCTATAATTAAGTGCTCTATAAATTGAAAAAATAGCTTTTACTAATTTTTTTTAATTAACCGAGAATCTGCTTTTTCAAAAAATTACTGCAAATATACATAATATAAAGTAAAATGTTCCGTAATATATCAAATAGCGCTAGCAAGGTGGATTTTATTTGTGAAGAAATTATGAAATTTGTAAATTAGTTTTGATATTTGTGTTTCTAGCGCCTAATTTTATCTTTGCTATTTTCACGGCAACTTTTTTTTGGGAGGGGGGAGGGGAGGATTCTCTGAGAGGAGACTCTCATTTTACAGCAATTACAAATGCAGTAGACGCCATTGAATATGATTGCAGTTAATACTGTCATTCCGATAGTGTTATCGAATTGATGAAGTCCCGTGCATTTATGAAAACATGGAAACTGCATTGTTTATTATGATCAAAAATTCAGTTAATGTAATCAAAATATTATCGAATAAATTTTTCAAACCGAAATAATAAAGTCGACAAATGATCAAAATAGAATATAAAAATTGACAAGTGACAGAGAAATGTCACCATATAAAGGCTATAATTATAGTATAATTAAGTCATCCAATGTTTATAATTAGCAAAAAAATCAACCTTAGTTTGATGTAGATTTTAAATAACTCTATCAATTTTGAGGGTTATCAGACACAGGTCTCTCTTCTTTAGGAGCCAAAAAAAAAAAAAAAAAACCTTTACAAACTTTTTTTAAAATCTGGAAAAAACTGAAAACAAATACGTAAAATAAAAACTGCATTTCTGCCTAATTTCAGATTTTACCCTGGCATGTTATCCTTCAGTGACGGATGGCCTACGAATATTAGGGGTATAACATCGGTCGAATAATTTCCAAAAACGTTATGAACATTCATAATGAATTTTTGCTTTACAGGGATTATAAACAATTGATAAACAAACTTTTGCATTTTCCTAATTAAAGTGTTGGAATTTACCCTGTTTATATATTTCTGGTTTTGTTTATAATAAATTAACTGCATTCCACTGCCGTTTTGAAGGATATTTTCTCTCATCTCTTAATGCTATCGTTCGGTTATTGTTTTAAATTTTAGACGTTTTCCCCGGCAGGAGGGAAACAGTGGAAGAAGATTCGCGGATCCATTTCCTAGAACGTTCTTCATCCAAACTGCAAACTGTATCCAAATATTTACATAGTAACTGTAAACTATACCTGTAAACCCAATGGTGAAATTTTGCTATCCCACCCACTTCTACCTGTAATTAGAGTATTTACGTGTATTAGTAAATAATGCTCAGTTTCATTGTGAAAAAAGTTTAAATTCTTACTGAAAGTTATATTTTATAATTGATTTGCATTTCCTATTGAATTAGATTGAAGGCTAAACAAAAATTCGTAGCAGCAACTAAAAATTCTAAAATGCAGCATTGATTGATTATGGAAATGATGTTAAACTACGTCTTAAATCAATCACAAAACTGGTTCAGAATAAATATAACATAATTAAAATGTCTTACTTTAAGTAAAGTTACCATAAATTACCTGCACTTGAAAAGTTTTAACAGCATAATCGTACACTTTAGCCAAAGCACTCGTTTCATTCGTTGCATTTTTGGGTTGCGTGTGGATGCCGATCACTACCATGGACTCCAAGTCTCCTTTTGATTTCAAAGAATGAAAATAAGAAACTTTTAAATTACCTATAATGCTATCTATGTAAGAAGTATTTAATATGAAAATATTCAAACACTTTACCAAATATTTATTAGTATTTCCCTTATTTACTTCGTACAAGGAAGTAAAAAAGATTAATCCTTTCAAGAGTTTGATGTATATTTATTCAATAATACGATTGTTAAAAATACTTGTTCAATTAGTACAGTTTTGGCAAATCATGTCTGATTTTGAAATACACATTTAATTAATTTTTTAATTTATTCAACCATTAACTGCATAATATCATTGTTTGATAGACCTATATTCTGACTTTGGAAACTATGAATAAATTCTAATACACCGAGATTTGTACCCTGATCGAACTACCGGTGATCAGCTATTCTACCGTTCGGCCGCTGATGAGCCACAACTAATTTAAGAAACATAAAATATTCTAAATACAAATTGTATAATAAGTGCTTTTAGTATGAAATTTGAACTAATACTTTCATCAAGCCAATTGAATAAAAATTCCCGTTAAGTTTGAATTTGTCATTAATTTATGTCATAAAATACAATTAAAAATTTTGGTCAAATTTCATTGCTTAAAATATAAAGTTACGTTTAAAAGAGAGTTGAATTAAAAAAAAATTCTTCGAATGTCAGAAATTTTGGAGGCAACAAAAATTGAAAATTAGTAGGACATCTCGGCCATATGATATTAAAACGAACTAAGTAGGTCAAAAGCAACTAGAGAGCCTTTTTTTTTCCCTTGTGCAAAGTCAAGGAAGTATTGTAATCACGATAAATTTCGTGTATCATATTTTGACGAAAATATACGTTTTGATCGCTATCGAATGCAATTTAACAATGTTTTTGAGTGACATCTGTAGTACATAAAATAAAGGTCTCTTTTTCCAAAATGAATTTAAAAATGGATTTCAAATGGATTCAAAAGAGAATTTTTCGCGTCGTATGTACGTACCTATATATGTATGTGTCTCTCATAACTGAAAAGCGAGTAGCCTCAGAAAGCTGAAATTTTGTATATGGGACTCCTGTAACATGCAGTTATGCACCTCGCTTCTTGGTATCAATTGGCCGCACCAAAAATGTATAAATATATATATATATATATATACGCACTCTGTCACTCGGCTCGGTGAGTTCAATTTTTTTTATTCTTATATGGTAAATTGTACATTTTTTGCTTTAAAAGTGATTGAATTATGTTGTTCTGATGTTCAGGTTTTATACCTTTAGAACTTTGCTTAAGTGCAGCTGAACCTAATACAGCCTCCATATCTCTTTACATTTGAATCTGCAGAATAGTGAATTCAGTTTCTGCATCTTCAGTGTCTTTTTGCCGAGTGAGACCAAAAGTAAACTTCCAGTCTGTGCACCGGAAAAAATATGTCTCTTTACCCGCTAGTCGAATTGCTTGTTTTTGCGAGTTAAGAATTAATTGAATGGGAAATATATCTCTAATGAAATTCGAGGAATAAGTTTAAATGAAATGCAGCAAAAAATGTGTATAATTTAATAGACCGTATAAGGAAGTCATGTGGTGCCCAACTCAGAATTTTTTTAACGGATTACAGTGACGCACACAAAGGGCGAAAAAGATACCCCTGGAGGACTGATAAGGGAAACTGGGCTCGTATCCAAGTAAGGGAAACTACGAAAACGACTAGAGAGACTGGCTTTGGTTAATAAATTTTTATCAGCTGAGTGATCCAAGCTATTCTACAGAAGGAAACATTAAGTTTGAAACAAAAACAAAATTAAGTAGATCATTTATTTTTGTAAGAGACTGTTGATAATCCACGTGACTCAAAATATATAACACGGAAGGGGAAGTGTAAGGAAAACTGGGAGAAAATTCTATACGAAATTAAAGCGAACGCTCACAGTGCTAAAGCTTTCATGTTGCGACTTACGTTACTAAACGTCAAAAGATCCCTGAATCATTTTCTTATCGAAAAAAAAGTTTCATAACTTCGGTCAAAAAAGGAAGAAAACATGGTTATATACGTAAAAAAAAAAAAAAAAAAAAAAAAAAAAAAAAAAAAATTAAATTAAACATAATTATTAATTAAACACAATCCAAAGCCTCGTTTAATAAAAGCAGCAAAATTTAAAAGAAGTGTATATTATATTAACATACGCATGCATATATATATGTATAGCGTGTGTGTGGGATTATGGCAAAGCCTCGAGGACTATCTGCCTAAGGGGAGGGGTGCCTTCGTGGAGGAATTTCTAAGTGAAACTGGCTCTTATACACGTTACACATGGGGAAAACCACGAAAACGCCCATGCACCCGGCCCGTTCGCGGGATTCGAACCTCGGACCGAATTACCAGTGTTCAGCGATTTTACCGCTCGGCCGCTCAAGCAAGGTAGTAATTACAATATTGAATAATCAATTTGGTCTAGAAAACATCTTGCGCAATATGCTGCAAAATAAGTAAAATAGAAATTGTAGCAAGCTCGCCTAAAAGTTACCAGGAGCTGTTGCTCCAAAAAGTTCAACACGTTTTAAAAAAAATTAATACATATGAAAATCAAACCATTAAACATGTAAAACATTAAAATACAGAATCAGATAAAAAAAAGTAAGCGGAAAATGGTAAATTAGCCTAACTCGACTTCCAAACTGGCTTTTCAAGGGAAATTTAATTTGTTTGAACGTCGAATCAAGCTAACCCCATTACGCGTTTCGCCGAAACAGACAATTGAAACTTTTTCGCTACAATTTTTTAAATTTAGACAAAGTGTCTTGGAAAATTTTAATAGTCTCAATTCTCTGTTCCAATATATATATTAAATTTGCTTTTTACGTATATACATGTTTGTTAATATATATTAACAAACATGTATATACGTAAAAAGCAAATTTAAAGTTAAAATAGTTGAAAAATGTGCAAACCTATAAAAGATTTCATTTTCAAACTAATCTACAATATCATTTAAATTCAGATAGCATAAGTAAATCAAGTGCAATACCAAACCATGAAAATAAATTCACATGTTCACAAATTCACAGGTTGAAAATTTTAGCATTTGTGGTAATCTTTTTCAGTGTAGACTTGAAAAAATATGTTAGGGGTGTAATCGTTAATTTCTTTCTACTTTTATACACGAAAAGAAAGATTTCTTATATAAGTATATCTTATTGCATATGTATATAAAAATGCTCACTTAATGTAGGAGTGGAGAAATGAACAATATAAGGTGGGCGCATGAATTCATCACGAGGATCAGGATAAGTGTGACCTTCTAGATAGATGAGCTTATCGTTCCTACAATAAAAAATAATTCAGTCATATTAATTATAAAATTTTACTTTGCAGTATGATATAAGAATATTTACTTGCTTTATAAAATGAAAGAAAGTTTATGTTTTTCTTTTCCTTAGGACTCTTATTAATAAATACACGGGGTGTACTATAAATCTGGATACATTTAAAAAATCATATAGGATCAACAAATGATATATCAGGGTCCAATTTTTCACTAAAACCGTCACACAGAAACGGACGTTTTTTTCATGAAGTACATTTAAGTTCAAATTTTTATCAGTAGAAAGCAACGTCAGTACCCACTGGTGAAAATTTGAACTGAAAAATATGTGTCACTAAAGATTTTGTTGTTGTTGTTGCTAATGCTCACTTGCCTGGCTTATAGTCAGCCCAAGTCAAGAAACTCCTCGATTCTGTCTGTATATGATATGTCTTTTTGTGCAAACCGCAATCTGGTACCCCCGTTTGATTTCTTAAAATGTGTCCAAACTTATGGAACACCTTGTATTTAAAAATCAGTACGTACCTGTAAATGTAAGCGTACTGTTCCTTTGCATTTCCTCGCCCTAATCTTTCACTAATTTGCATCATATATTTCACTCCTTTGGGAGATAATCTGAAGAAAAACGAGAATTTTTTTAAGTAAAATGAATTAAGTGAAACAAGCAATGAAAATCTTTCATTTTTGAATTAAAATTTTGAATACCGGTTTAGACTTTTTAGAAGAGAAACCACCATATCTTCGTCCAAAGTCACAATTTCTTGAACCAAAACTAAGTCGTAGCGTAATAAAATCTATGGAATAAAGGGAAAGAAATAAATTGCTGTTTCTTTATTTTACGTTATTTGTCTATCAGTTTTGAAGTTGTAAACTAAGCAAATACAAAATTTCTAAAGCCTAAATGATTTTCGTAATTTTAATTTTTTTAATTTCAAGAAACTGTTCATCAAATTACTAATCAGAATTTTAAATCTATTTCGTATCTCCAAATATTTCATGAAATGAATTCAATTAAACGTCTCGTTAAGTTCGAATTTGTCATTATTTTTATATCCTAAGATAAAAATATAAAATTCTGGTCGAGTTTTATTCAATTATCAGGATAAAATTGTGTTTAACACGCAAATAAAATTACAGAGTCAAATTTTTTAAAAATTCTTCAAATAACAGAAATTTGGAAACCACAAAATTGAATATTAATAGAATATTTCTAAGATATGATATTAAAACAAACTGAGCAAATTAAAAAGAATTAGATAGGCCTTTTTCAATGAATTACGGCTACTCACATAGTGGTAAGTGAGGGTTGACCTTCGAGAACTTTTAAAGCCTAGTAAAGTAAAAATAGTGATAACCTCATCCAAGATTGAAAATTTGGTGCAAACCGAAAAAACAAAATTAAGCGATCACCCTGTTTTTGCAGCATTATGTTAACTTATAGTACATGGTGGTCACAAAATGTGTAAAATCTCATTAAAATCTGCTGAACACGAATCTAATGTTTCAAATACATCGGAAGATTTCTTATGTGACTTTAAAACACAAAATTATCAGCATTAAAAAATGCAACAATGGATTGAAAATCCATTATTACGTTGCTTCTAATGAGCAATACTAGCTTTAACGCGTTTTTTTTTTTTTTTTTTTTTGTATTAAATGGATTACGATTACACACACAAAGGGTGGGAGGGAGGGATGAGCCGTGGAAGACCGCCAGTTTCCGTCAGACCTGGTCGACTGAGGAAAACTGGCATGACAGTCTTTAAAACAGAACAAGAAATGACACTTCTATACAAACTGTACGAATGTTGAAATCGCCTACATGTGTAGACGTATGATTTTTCTTTCGTTAACTGTAAGACATGGTACGGTACTCAGGAATTGAGCAATTAAGGTACTACTGAATAGAATTAAATTCTCTTCGTAAACGAATCAAAATTCTATTTGGCAATATATGACTGCTGTATCTTCAGTTGTAGGAAATATAACACAGGAAACATTTCCAATTCTGAGTGGGGATGGTCATCCGGCAGGCAGTCTAACGGGTAAGAAGAATGTATAGGGACGAAATCCTCGGGCATTTGGTCTTGTCCAAGGTCCGTACAGTCCGTACAGTTCACTGTACAGTGAAGGTCCGTACAGTTCACTGTACGGACCTTGGGTCTTGTCAAATGTGGAGGCCTTGGCAGTGCATTTCTTGTGACGAACGATAATGCTCGATGTCACAGAGTTAATCTCGAGGAAGATTTGAATTTGCATTTGTTTAATTTATTTAACGGCAGGAAAACAGAAATAACATTCGTCAAACGTCCAGCGAAAGCCACATTGATTTATTCTATTGTCAAAAGCCATGCATCCCATATTTATTATTTTTAGGATTTAGAGTAAGTAATCCATGCTTCTGTTACCTTCTTTCTATTGCTGTCTGTATATTCAATTCCTAAATTATTAAAAATATTGGTGAAAATGTTTTTTTTTTTTTTTTTTTTTTTTCCTCTCTGTATCATGAACTTAAATAAACTTTTCGCTTTTGGCAAAATATTATGTTTAAAAAGTAGGCGCCTTTCCTACAGAAATCAATCAAATTTATAAGTAAAGACGTTTAAAATATGAGCGGGGAGTTCTAAAACTGGCATTATAGATAATGAAAACGTATCAGCAATTAAATGTAGCAGATTAATTTATTTGTTACTTTAAAAGTTGCAAAATCATCATACTATTTTTTAGTTTGATTGCTGTTAAATGTGATGCAATTTGGCTTTCTTTTATATATAATGTTGAAACATTCAGATGATTACAGTTCTGCAATTAGATATTAGAAATTTTAAAATGATTTCTTGGTAAGATTAGTTTCTAAAACGGGAAGGATAGTCCTGATCTGTAACTTTAAAATGTATGTGCCTCTCTGAAAAGATTTATTTTTGGCGACTGTCAGAAACCTTCTTAATGTGAACCTAATATCGGACTTATAGGTTATCAGAGGATCTCAGTGAAAACTGACTTAAATTACTGCATTGTTGGGTTCTGCGGAAGTTTACTAACCCGTTATTGTAATTTTGGTACCTTTTCTGAATTCTCTTATTTCCCCTCTCATTTCCTTTCCAGAATGCAAATTAAGTAGGTGAACGAGAGTATTTAAACGGTTGAAACGAAAAGGTTAGACAGAGCGTGATTTCGCTAGTGAAGCGCACGTTTGCTATTTTGTCCTCCACTATTAACCTGTGTAGCAGCTATGCATTCTGGCCATCTCCTTAGTATATCGCCGGTGTAAGATTCTGAGTCTTCTTGTTAGATTAAATTAAATTGTGTAATCTAGCATTACCTCTTGTTACATCAATTTATTGCTAAATTACCTTTAAGCTCTCACCGCAAGTAATCGGTGCTGTTATACGCACGTAAGTCCGTGTTCTATTAAAGAGTTGTAATTAATAAGAGGGCTTTTACACCCTTTCTCTGCTGTGTTATCTTTACGCCTGTACGAGAAGTCGCTAGATTTGACACTGAAATCTAGTCACAGTACATGATAGCAAAGAAAATTAAGTCTTATACTGTAAATAGAACATTATCATTTGATCAAATGAATTTCGTTCCTTGTGAGAATTAATAGTATTTAACAAGTTACTCACCTTTTTCATAATATTCATGACTGTATTGTTGCTCAGCTTACTATTTCCCAAATTCTGTATGTTAAATGCTCCAACAAGTATTGGTCTTTCTATGGCTTTTGCATTCTTCGTTATTTTGGTCTTACATTCAACACACAAACATACCGCTGATAGTAAAAATATGATAATGCCAAAAGTCGTTCGTAATGCCATTTTCAAATGCTGTATCTGAAACGTTTTAAAACAGAAACGTTTACCAAAAAATACATTTTGTTTACATTCATTATCATTTTATGGTTTGTTTTGTTTTCATTTTCTTATCACTTTAGTTTTGAATGTCAACTTTCATAACAGTAAATGTTTCCTTTTTTAAAATCTTAAAAAGGTTACTAGAAAATCGGTTGTGCGTATTTTCTCGCCGCATTTTTATAGCAGCAGATAGGAATTCTTTAGATCCTTTTATGTATCTTTACTTTTATTTATCATGTATAGGTGTAGATAAATCCGAAAAAAATCCCAACGTTATTTTGAGACGGGTCTTAGTATACTCGATAGATCTATTAAACAATTTTAAAAGAAACCAAAGAAACTCAAGTTTGTTTCCAAATTATTATTGAATGAACTTGAATAAGATGTTCTCTTTCTGTTATTATATGACGCTACTTTATAGAATAAGTTCGAAAATTCTAGAAATTTCTCAAAAAGCGTATACAGCTGAAATGATATCTAAATGGATTTGTGAAATAAAATAATAATTATTTTGATATTTTTTGATATTTTTGTTATTTTAAACCAGAAGCGGCCAACTTCTGTACCCTAGCATACGGAAGTTGTATTTTGAGGCAGCCGGCCGTGCAGCATATTATGTCTAGAAAATATTTAAATACATATCTGGAATAATAAACACCAATTATTTTAATATTCCTGTAGTAATAATTTCAAATAATCTGTTTTAGAATATTCATTCACCCTATAGCACTGTGTTAGAATATTCATTTTCATCATGAATTTAAAGAAAATAGAAAAGTGTATTCATAGGAAAACCTGAAACTTCGATGAACCTGTAACCGATGTCATCTGAAATTTTGTATCAAAAAATTATTTTTATGTTAGCTAACTTTAAGAGCTCTTGAGGATTTTGAGAAAGAAATATAATGAAATATGTCTTAGTTAAAGATAGAAACAATACAGTTTTCAATCTCTGAAAATAATGAAGCGATTCGTAAGGATAATCGTGCATAGATGATATAGAGTAGTTAGAGTGTCAGTTAAAATGACAATTACGATAATTAAGAGTGTAGAAGGAAAACTCGAAGACGTTTATAAATTATAATTTTCTTAGGCTATCACTTTTAAAGTTTTATTTAAATGTTAACATTTTAATAAGAATAAATTCGTTTCTGTGTCTAAAAAATTATTTTTTTTTTTTTTTTTGTTTTTTTTTTTTTTTTTCATTATCAAGCAAATATAATGACAGTTGTATACATTTATCAAAAATGTTAAATTATTTGTTTCAGGAATTTAACGATTCCGTAAGTAGTAGTGTAAAAGATATTACGTGTGATGAAACATAGCAATATATAAATATAAAAATGACTTTCAGTTAAAATAATTAATTAAATTATAATTTTTGTCGACAAAGAATGAGCTGTTAAAATAAGTAAAATGTATTCTTCTAACTATCATAAAAATTTTATGAAGCTTCATCCTTTCTGGAGAAACGATGCTTAAAAATATTACATTTAATTGGATAGATATAGACCTCCCGTTGGTTAAGAGTAAAGTATCTTTGAAAAATAATCGCTTAAAGCAAATAAATTCAAGCAATATTCATATCTTATTCTAGTCAAAATAGTCAAGAAAATTTTACTGCTTTAAATTCCACGCTTTGTTGAGAATTAAATACTGGCTGATTGAAGGTGGTGATATTTCTTTATTTCGTGTATCATGATTATAAATTATAATTTTTCATTCAGTTTAGGAGTCACTTTAAAATGTTTACAATGCAGAATTAAGTTAGTTCATCTTCGAAAAGTCCTACTGTTCTATTACGAGTAAAAGTAGCCTCTTAACCAACATTTAACACCATACAAGAATAACACGTATTGATTAAATAATCTAAAAAAGAAATTTTATGAAGGAAATAGAACTATTAATGTGATTGACTGTTTTATTTTGATCTAAATAAGTCGAAATATTGTGCTGAAATTTTAATAGCATTATCAATTTTTTTTTTATTTATTTATTTATTTATTTTTTGTTTTGTTTTTTGTTTTTAAAAGATTTTAAGTGTCACTTTTAAAAATCGAATTTTCTAGAACAGCGTTTCTCAAACTTCTTTCAAAAAAGAACCACTTTAATTAATTAGAATAATCTGCGGACAACCTTAGACTTGTCTCTTTTGGAAGCATTATTTTTAGCATATGCATACTTATATATTTTTAAATACAATTTATTAAAATTCATTCAGCTTTATGTTGGTATAAAGTAATTAAGCTAACAGAAGGAAATTCATGTTCGTTTTTAATTTTATAATGGAGATATACTGGTAATTTAAAAAATGCATCTTTTAGCAAGAAGGCTCCTACTATCAAACTATTTGTCACTTAAAGTATAAATTCATAATTTATTATTATATTTCGTAAATCAGAGGCTAGTTAAAACCTCTATTTTACGTCTTACTTTGTAAATCAGAAGTCAGCTGAAAACATTCCACTGTGCGTCATTAGTTGAAAAGTAGCAAAAATCTAGAGTGATGACTATTATTCTTTACGACTATTATTGATTGTGTAAATTGATGTGAAGTAAAATTTATTATTGATTGTGTAAATTAATGTGAAGTAAAATTTATTATTGATTGTGTAAATTGATGTGAAGTAAAATTTATTATTGATTGTGTAAATTGATGTGAAGTAAAATTTATCTTAACTAAATCAAGGCGGAATGCCTATATAGGAAAATCCAACTAAACGGAAGCTGTCTTTCAGACCGACAGGTATACAACTTAAATCTATTCACTTTTCAGCTTGTCGTAGAAAAATAATTCATAGCCTTCTGAGAGGAGTTTCACAAGTTTGATGAGTTGACTTGATTTTCTTCTAACAAATAAAATAACACCACTTCCCATTTTCAGAAGCAACGGTACTATAGAATTCTTAAAGCATTTATTAGTAGTTAAACTATAAATGCAAGATCATATTTTTTATTTCCTTTACTGGTATAATAGATAAGTAAATGTTAAATATCTTACCTCAGATTTTCAAACATTACCTGAAAAATTCCGTTGTAGCTTTTACCTCAGATTAATGAGGATAAGTAAACTGAACTTCTACGAAGTCGCTTTAAAACAGATTAAAAATGGAACAGCAGATTGTAAAAGTCAGTTTTTTCTCACACTGATACAAAAAAATATAACCTTTGTAATACTGAGATTGAAAAATATTTACTTTTCGTATTTGGAATAAATAAAACAGATTTTGAAAAGAAAAACTGGAAAGCCCAAATTCGATCATCTGAAATTATTTTGCACATTATTATGACTGAAACTGGATAAAATGGTCTTTCTATTAAAAATAATTTCACATGGTATCAGCTATTTAGCTTCTAAACCCCAGTCAATAGATAATAGATTCAAATTTTGATTAAAAAGCACAAGTGTTTGTAATAATTCTGTGCTACCTGTCAGAAGGAGCTAAATCCAATCCCATCTGCATCTTTTCTCTCGGAGCTAAATAAAATTATTATTAGCTTATTATATTATTGGAAAATAAAGAATAAACATTTTCGTCCGCAAACAAGGTAAAACTATATAGAGATAAAAATGGTAGAGTATAATAAAATAAAGACTTTTTAAGGAGAGGGAATTGAAATTACTAATCCTATGTCTATAAGATGCATAAAATAATCAATAATGTTTATAATCATAGCATATTATTGAGAGAAACGCTGATTACACTCATATTCTCGTTACATTTGAAATAAATAATGAAAATTTTGAAAAAAATGTTTTTTGAGCGAAAGATCATGAATTTAATTTTGGTTTGGAGTCCTTAAATCACTAAACATGATCGATAACGCACACTCTGTTTCTTATATTATAAGCACATAATGCCTCTAAATTCCTACATTTTTTTCTTCCTGTTTATGAAAGTGCGGAATTTTTCATCAGTAGGGTTCTTTTCTGTGAAACTTGTTGGCAACCGCCGTTGATTTCCCTAGCGCATGCGCATGATAAGCAAGTTCTCTGCTGCGTAATACTTATACTTAGTAGGTAGTTAGCCAAAGTCAATGGTGAGTATTGCATGTAAGCGAGAAGGGCTAAGCGCTGTGTAATATCATGTTTCTACTCTGCTGTTCAACGTCTTCGTAGTTTAAATAAATGTTTGTTATGTACATAGAAGACGTCATTTTATTCTTCATAGGTTATGGGCCCAGATAGCGCTTAACTGTCAGTGCAACTACCATTGTTAAATTTCGGCAAGCCAAGCTGCGTCGACTGAAATGAAAATGGCGACGACTAATACAGTGTCAATTGAAAAGCTAAACAAGGACAACTTTGATACGTGGAAGTTGCAAATGGAAGCAATACTGATTAAAAATGATCATTGTGACTATGTAACTGGGAAAATTCCGAAACCAGAACCTGGTGATGAAGAATTTGTTAAATGGAAAACTACTGACCAAAAAGCACGAGCGGATATAATCCTATCCATCTCACCCAGTGAACTTCCACAAGTAAAGAATTGTGTAACATCTCACGAACTGTGGGGTAAATTGCATTCTATTTACGAGTCAAAGGGACCAGCTAGAAAGGCCACAATTCTAAAAAAATTGCTTTTTACAAAAATGAGTGATTCTAAACAAATGACTGATCACCTAAAGGATTTTTTCATTCTTGTGGACAAACTTAAAGAAATGGAAATAAACATTGCGGATGATTTGCTTACAATATTGCTTTTATATAGCATACTTATGAAAGCTTTCGAATAGCCATCGAATCTCGTGATGAACTGCCTTCTCCAGAAATGCTGAAAATTAAACTGTTGGAAGAAGCTAACGCTCGCAAAAATAAAGATTCATCGTTTTCTGAACAACAACATGCGTTCTATTCGAAAGATCGGAAGTATACTCAACGACCGGTTCCTAAACCGAAACCAGATAAGTCTGCAAACCGAAGACAGTATCCAGTTAACTACAGATGCAACTTCTGCCATATCTATGGGCATAGAGCATCGGAATGTAGGAAGAAAAGTAAAGAAACTAAAAGCAAACGCCTCAGTGAAACTGCGATGTCTGCAGAAATTCCGAATTCCTTGGAGCAAGAAAAAGCCGTAGCATGCACTAATAGTAATTCTAAAGACATTTTTTGTCTGGATAGTGGTGCAACATCGCATATGTGTAACAGCAAGGAACTGTTTCAAGAAATTCACGAAGTAGGTGACACTTATGTTAAATTAGCTGCTGATAAAACTGTTAAAGCTATTGGAAAAGGAACTGTTAAATTTAAAGTTCGCATAGGTTCTAAAACTGAAAATATCAAACTCAAAAATATATTGTGTGTACCTGATTTGAAAAATAATTTAATATCAGTGTCTAAAGTACTGAAAATAATCTTTCAGTAATTTTCAAAGAAAAATGTGCTCAAATAATTAATTCTAATAACGAAACAGTAATTTTAGCTAAACGTGAAAATGATCTTTATTTTGTCATGCCAATATTTGAATCTGTATCAATTGCTAAAGAAATAGATCAGTGGCATATAAGATTTGGCCATTTAAATGAAAATGATCTTAAAAAACTTCAAATAAATAACATGGTTAGAGGTCTTTCTTTTTCTCAAAATGACTCTCTTTCTACTTGTAAGGTATGCATTCAGGGTAAACAAACCGCAACCCCTCTTCCCAAAAAATCTGAATATAGAAGTACTGAATTGTTGAATCTAATTCATTCTGATTTGTGTGGTCCCATGAGAACTGAATCAATCGGTGGATCATTTTATTTCGCAACATTTATTGATGATAAATCTCGATATGTTCGTGTTTATTTTCTGAAATCTAAGGATGAGGTTAAAGAGGCTTTCAGAAATTTTAAAGCATCTTTTGAAAATAAATTTAACTCTAAAATCAGAATCCTGCGAACCGGATAACGGGCTAGAATATTTAGGGAAAGACTTTAATAAATTTCTTAATAATGATGCGGGAATAAAACACGAAATGAGCACTCCTTACACGCCAGTCCAGAATGGCGTCGCCGAAAGATTAAATCGCACTTTAGTTTCAATGGCGCGATGTTTGTTATTGCAATCCAATCTGCCTCAGAAATTCTTGGCCGAAGCCGTCAATACGGCTGCTTACATTCGAAATCGCTGCCCAACGCGAGGTTTAAAACACGAAATAAAAACACCTTACGAAGTGATGTTTGGCAGAGTACCTGCTGTCTCTCACTTCAGAACCTTTGGACAAAAAGCATTTTCGCTAAATAAAAGGCCGGGAATAGGCAAATTTGATATTCGATCTAAAGAATGTATTTTTATTGGCTATTCTGATGAATCAAAAGCGTATAGACTTTGGGATCCCGAGGCACGTAAAGTGATAATAAGCAGAGACGTAAAATTTATTAATGAATTTGAAAACTGCTGTAGTTATGACTCAGAGCAAGAAATAAATCTGCCTTTCGCTCCGGAGGAAAAAATTATAAATAAAACATGTTGTGATGAATCATCACCTCTGGACGGTAGCGAGTCGCCACTTAAATCTGAAGCTGAACCGGAAAGCGGAAGTGATTTAGATAGCGAATCAATGCATCCTATCCTGATTAAAAGGGGGCCTGGTCGACCCAAGAAACTAAAAACAGGTTTGCCAGGAAGGCCTAAAAAGGAATATCATTATACAGTTATAAATAAAAGTGAACAAACTCAAAATGTTGTTGAGGAAAGCATTAATCCTACGGTGCAAGAAGCATTAAATGGACCATATGCTGAAAATTGGCATAATGCCATGCTGTTAGAATATAACTCGCTTGTTCAAGAAAAGGCTTGGGAATTAGTAAACAGACCTGAAAACAAGAACGTTATTGGTAGCAAATGGGTTCTTAAATTAAAATATAATCACGACGACACTATCGAAAAATACAAAGCTAGGCTAGTTGCTAAAGGGTGCGCTCAAATCCCTGGTCTCGATTTCACTGAAAACTTTTCCCCTGTTGCTAGATTAAATTCCATAAGAACAGTTTTAGCCTACGCAGTAGAACACAATCTCAAAGGTTACCAATTAGATTTTGTAATGGCCTATGTAAATGGAAATTTAGATGAAGAAATCTACATGGAAATTCCCGAAGGTTTTCGCGATGAAACTAATTCAGATAAAGTGTGTCTTTAAAGAGATCATTATACGGTCTTAAACAGTCAGGACGTCAGTGGTACAAAAAGTTGGATGAAAAATTGAAATCTATGAAATTTAAATCTCTTAATTCAGATAATTGTGTTTATATTAAAAAGACGCTTAACAGTGAAACTATTATAATCGTTTATGTAGACGATCTTATCGTTTTTACCGATTCTCAGCAAACGTGTGAAACAATTTGCGATAGTTTAGCTCCTGCTTTCAAAATGAAAGACTTGGGAAAATTACATTATTGCTTAGGAATAGAATTTTACCAAAATGAGAATTCAATTAAAATTTCCCAAAAGAAATACGTTGATGATATTTTAAATCGGTATAATATGCAAAATGCTAAATCCGTGTCTTCACCTATAGATAACAGCAAAAAATTATCCAAAGAGATGAGTCCTAAAAACGAAAACGAAATCGCTGACATGAAAAATGTTCCATTTAGAAATCTGATCGGATCACTAATGTACCTTTCAGTAGCTACTACTAGGCCAGATATCACACATACGCCGTGAATTTTTTTAAGTCAATTTAACAACAATCCGGGAAAAGAACATTGGCATGCTGCGAAAAGAATACTTCGATATCTAAAGGGAACCCAAGATCAAGGACTAATTTATACGAAAACAGGAAAACCACTCATCGCCTTTGTGGATGCAGATTGGGCATCAAATGTCGATGATAGGAAATCTTACACCGGTTTTGTATATATATTAAGTGGTTCAGCTATAACCTGGGAATCACGAAAACAACGCAGTGTAGCTCTATCTTCAACGGAGGCGGAATATATGGCTGTGTCTGAGGCCGCCAAAGAAACCGCCTACCTACGTCGTTTCCTGAAGGAGCTGGACTACAACATAGAACACCCAACAACAATATACTGCGACAATCAAGGAGCTCAGAAAATTACAAAGAACTCTGTGTTTCACTCCCGTACAAAGCACATAGACATTCGCCATCATTTTGTGCGTCAAGTGTATGAACGCGGTGAATTAGATGTGAAGTACATACCTACCAGTGAAAT